AATGGGCACTCACCCGCCTGGACCTTGAGCTCGCAGAGGAAGCAGCCATGGTCCAGGCGAGGCGAAAGAGGAGTTCTTGGCTGCCCATGGGGGAGGCCGTACAAAGTTGTGCGCAAAAAAATGTACGGCGCATCTACCATGAAGTCACTGGAGCTGGATCTCTTCAACCGGGTGGTGGAGGGCCTTTTCCCCGAACCGCAGTCCTTCACCCCACCAGCCATAGTGCCCCCCAGAGCAGACGGGTGGCAGACTGAGGAACCCCTTCCGGAAATCACCGAAGGGGAGTTGGAGTGGGCGGTGGGACGGCTGCGGGGGCGCAAGAAGGCTTCCGGCCCGGACGGGGTACCGGGACGAGTCCTTCGCATTGCCCTGAAGCATCTCGGGACCCGCCTCAAGCATCGGGGTTGTTTCCGAGATGCTGGGAGGAGGGAAGGCGGGTCCTGGTGCCCAAGCCGGGCCGACCTGCGGACTTCCCCTCGGGGTTCAGGCCCCTCGTCCTGCTGGATGAGGTGGCGAAGATCCTGGAGCGAATCATCGCCTCCGGATCAACGAACACCTGAGGGGGACAGGCCCCGATGTGTCGCAACGGCAGTACGGGTTCAGGGCTGGACTCTCCAACCTGGACGCCCTGGAGTCGCTGCGACACATCGTAGAGGAGGGTAACGGCGAGGGGTAAGGCGTGGTGGCTGTGTCGTTGGACATAGTCAACGCCTTCGGCACTCTCTCCTTCGCCGTTATCAGGGAGGCGCTGAGGTACCATAATATCCCCAGGTACATCAGCCGTCTGGTGGAGCACTACCTGGAGGACGGGTGGTGCTCTACCAAACGAGGGAAGGGAGGCGCGCCGAGCGCCCAATGAGGTGCGGAGTGCCCCAGGGGTCCGTATTAGGACCACTACTGTGGAACCTGGGGTACGATTGGGTGCTGAGGGGCGCGTTGCTCCCGCGGACGGCAGTCATCGCGTACGCCGATGATAAGCTGGTGACCGTCCGGGGGACCACCTTCCAAGAGGCGGCCCTAAAAGCCTTAGTAGCGGCGGGCATGGTGGTCCGCCGAATACAACTGCTGGGGCTCGAGGTCGCCGTGCCGAAGACGGATGTGGCCGTCTTCGGCGGGAGGGGTAGAGGTTGGGCGGTGCCGGCAGGCCCACATCTCCATCGCAGGAGTATCGGTCCCGGTCAAGTCCCAGATGAAATATCTGCCTAGATGGTCTTGGACCGGCGATGGAACTCCGGCAACTTGCTCCCCGAATAGTGGGCGCCGCATCGGCGTTGGGCAGGCTCCTGCCCAACCTCGGGAGGCCGGGAGCCCCATGCAGAAGGCTATACGCCGGGGTGACCCGGGATATGGCCTTATACGGGGCTCCCATTTGGAGTGGGGCCTTATCAGCGGCGACGAAGTCGCTGCTGAGGAGGCCCCACAGGGTGGTCGCCCTGCGAATGTGCAGGGCGTACATGACGGTGGCCGGCGCTGCCGCATGCGTCCTCGCCGGTACTCCGCCGTGGGACCTCGAAGACGAGGTCCTGACGGAGGTCCGCACCTACCGGCGGGGAATGAGGGACCGAGGTGAGCGACCCGCTCCCCAAGAGGTGGAGCGGGAGCGCCGCCTCGCAGTGCAGCGTATGCGGGACCGGTGGAAAGAGGGCTTGGCGGATCCCCCCTATGGCACTCGTACCATAGGGGCGATCCGCCCTGTCCTCGTAGAGTGGGTAAACCGGTCCCACGGGCCACTGTCGTACCACCTTGTGCAGGTACTGACCGGGCACGGCTGCTTCGGTCACTACCTGCACAAGGTGGCGAGGAGGAAACTGTCCCTGTCGTGCCACGAGTGCGGCGCTGCGGATGACACTGCGCAGCACAACCTAGAGGTGTGCAGCCGGGGGATGAGCAGCGCCCCACTCTGACGGGGACTGTAGGGCAGGACCTCTCGCTGCCGAGCGTGGTTGCCGCCATCCACGATAGCGAGGAGTCCTGAGAAGACGGTGGCCTCCTTTTGCGCAGAGGTTATGTCGCAAAAGGAGGCCGCGGAGCAGGTGCGCGAGGACGCGGCGGATGCGCACCCGCTCCGGCGCAGACGTACGGGGAGAAGGCGAAGGCAGTTCGCTGCTCGCCTGATCCCCTAGTGAGACCAGCGGGCTCTGGACAGGGACTCCGGAGCCTGCATTGCACGGTCTCACTCGTCTGGAGGGCGGGTCGGAGGACAACCGACTTGCCCCTCCGTTGGCGCGGGAGCCCTGGCGTAAGCTAGGGCGGCCGGGCGGCGGCGTGGTGAATGTTCACTGATCCCACGGCGCGGACTTAACCGGCGAGAGGGAAACCCGGGGGGTTTTATTGGGGTAGGCCCTCCAGTGTAGAGGGAGAGTCCCCACATAACCCCTGAGTCTCCCTGGGCTCAGGTTTATCCATAAAGATTTCCCCCCGTCAAAAAAAAGGTGTTACCCCCCCACCGACCCCCTAATCGACCACCTAACCCATCCCTCACCCACCCCTAAACCACTTGTAACCCATAACTCATTTTGCATTCGTCGCGTCGTGTGAAACAAACCGTACCTTTATAGAAAAACGAATGCAGCGCAAACTGCATTCAAAAAACGCAACTCACAACTCACAAAATTACGCTCGTCTGGCCTCACACTAAATGCGGAAATATTGTCTTGTTACTATGTATTACAATTATTATTTTTTAAATGCATTTTGTTCCACTTATTCACATTGCTTACCAAGACTTTAAAATAAATTGACCATAATAAAACAATTCAATTAGGCTTAGGTTTATTCTCTTTAAATAAATTATACAAAATACCTTTACAATCACCCAAGGACATCAAGATCTTGTAGTACGGGAATCCAACGGCTTCTATTGTGTTATCCAATTTTATTTCAATATCACTATTACAGTTACAGAAATAATACAGATAAATTACAATAAAAACGACAGAATAAATTTTCAAGTACATTATAACAGCGTTCGTTATCTATGGACTGAACACGTCTTATGTATGCCTTCCAGTGAACAACAATGCTTTGTAAACTTGATAGAGGTAATTAAGTATCTATGATAGGTACGTAAACATAAGCGATGATAGGAATTTAGGCAATGTTGGATGATGGAATTCAATGCGACCAAGTTGTTCGTAATTAACATAATTGTATTCTTTGCATGGCTGCAACATAGTCCGACCATCTCCGTCACATCGGGCACATTTATTACACTCTATATACAGGGGTCCCATGGCTATGCGACACGAAGAGAAAGTACTTACTTTTGAACATAGGATATTTTGCTTCATGGATACATTATTTCATTTTTTAAAGTAAGTAATACTGCATTCAAAGATTTTTTGAAAGTTGCTTGCATGTCTGGGAATACAACGGACTAAAAATGTGAAAACAAAACAGGCTGTATTTTTATGATATCAATCGAAATTGTTAATTACATGAATTTACTCACTTTTAAGTAACATAGTATCTTAAATTAAAGGAACACTATGAAATTTTATATTTAAGTCCAGGAGAATGAATAATAATGCGTTTTACTGTCGATATTCTTATTTCAAGATGGAACTCCGGAGAGCTGCGAAGTCTCTTAACGATTGGTTTCCTACCTGAATCAATACTTTTAGACCTGACACTATTAGATTTCTTTTTCTGGATATTCAAACAATTTGGCAATGTGAACGAGTTAAAAACGAAATTGTGCTTACTGGTATTCATTATAAATGCCAGAGATAATACGATCAAAAATTATCTACGCGCAGCATAAGTTCGCTGCGCGAAGATTGAGAATTTGCATACAAGAAGGTGGATCACATTTTGAACATCTGATAAATTTATTGTAAGTACCGTAGACATACATTGGCAGTTTCAAGTTTGTTTCTGTTTTTAATAAATTATACAATTTCATGGTGTTCCTTTAGATTAAGACACTGTATTATTTAGAAGGAATTAATTCGTATAATTGACAATTTCGATCGGTATCTTAAAAATATAGATTTTTTTTCCACGTTTGGTTGGTTCGACTCTCTGGGAATCGAACCAACCAAATGTTTTTAGAACCACCACGCAATTTTTTTAGTCTTTTTGATCGCAGTATTACTTAACTTTAATAATAAAATATGAAGCAAAGTATCCTATCTACAATATTTAAATACTTTGCCTCCCTTAACTGCTTGAATAGTTACTTTGATTATTTGCTGTACGATCTTAGGTTAGTCATTTTCTAATACAATGATGATGCAATTGCCCTTTAGTTGCATTAGGTCTGGTTGGTAGTACTTGGTACTTGATACTTGGTGCAACGGGCTGGTATCCGCAACTCGACGACAAAGCGCCTATTTTGGTAGTATACCTAATGTTGATTTAAACTGCCTCCGTGGCCGAACGGTTACCATACCGGCCTTTTTTTTTTTTTTGACGGGGGAAATCTTTATGGATACCCCTGAGCCCAGGGAGACTCAGGGGTTATGTGGGGACTCTTCCTCCAGACTGGAGGGCCTACCCCACTAAAACCCCCCCGGGTTTCCCTCTCGCCGGTTGAGTCGGCGCCGTGGGATCAGTGAACATTCACCACGACTTACCATACCGGCCTGCCACGCAGAGGTGCCAGGTTGTATTCCCGGGCCGGGAGAAGTATTTGTATGGCCTACATTTATTTCTCTCGTGAGTTTGGGTGTAATTTGTGGTTGTCTATGTGTGTATCCATGGCACCCGCGACACAGGGTTTCTCTAGTGCGGGGCTATGTTGAGTGTGAGCGTTATTATTATATTATTATTATTATAGATAGAAATTTTCTAGAATTGCTTTTGATGATTATGGCGTGTGCATAAAACCATTCTAATTTGGGTAAAGTCTAGCACACAAACTTGTGTGGTACCTACTATCGTAGTTCTATGTATCATTGTTGAAGTAAATCACACCGGCTGAGTTTGATAAACATTATGATAATAGGTGTATTATTTCAACTACAACCTGTAATAGCATATACCTGTATTATTAAGCTAGAAGTGAAATAGATGGATGTGTTAAAAGAAATAAATGAATTTATTTATTTTTCTTAATTAAACAGTGAGAGAACATAATGCCCTCCAGCTGCGACGCCAGCCCAAGTTTCAGTGATGATCTGCTTAATATAGGATGGCGGTACTAAGAAACCATAATCGTAGCCGGGCAATTCCACAGTGTAAGTGAGAGGGATGCCAACCGCGCGAGTCCAGTCTCGAGAAGTACCAGTGGTGAAATACAGGACCATTGCGGCGTTTCCGACGATGTATCTCCTGGCTCCTTCCAGAGCGAGGGCGTCAATGGCTTGAGCCATTTCGATACCAGCATGGTGGAGACTCAAGCCGTTGGGTGGTAGGGTACCTATAAAAAGATACTTTATGAAATACATATTGAATGGATCCAGACTTTGCTTATTAAAGCTATTAATAAAGGGAGAGATCATTTTTTAAAATGTTAGACACAGGAACTCACCGTTATTGCCCCAAGCGTACAAGAACATGTTGCCATGGCTGTGCAGTGCGAGGTACATTATGGCTCTGTCAAGATTCTGAAAAACTACGTCTCTGACAATTCGAGTTTCTGGCTCAGAAAAAGGAACAGGTCCTTCAAAGGTGAGGGCGCAGGGGTTACTGGCGCTTGCCGTGGTGCCCCAGTAATGGTCGAAATTGCGATTGACGTCAACGCCAGGGCATTCATCAGAGCCGTTGTGGTTACGGGAACGAGTCTTGCGCCACATTCGATCCTAAAAACAATTTGTTCGAAACACATATGGAAGTTTGTGTTTCGTTTTTTGTTTGTCTACCATATTGCTGTTGGTGATCATATTTTTGATAACAAATAATATAAGTGAAATAATATTAAATTCGCAAAGAATTTTTTTATTTGCCGTTTCGGGATTTTCGGGATTTGGTGCATTGTGAAATCAGCATTTTTTTAAAGTAGGTTAAGGTTGGTTTTTAAATGTTTTAAATTGTGAGTCGGCCCATTTAAATTGACCGTAACCTTTCATATTATTACTGGGAACAAAGATAAAATCACCAATTAGTCAAGCAAAACGAAATAGTTATTGTTCATATTTATCATGTTTAGTATTCATATCACGTCCATTAAATTTCCTAACGGCCATTGAAATGTCCTTACCTCCTCTATAGAGTATTCATAACCATCCGGGTTGACTAAAGGAATGATGATCCAGTCAATTTGATCTAAAAGAACACTATCAGCTCCCTCAACTAGTTGCTGAATAATGTAACAAGCTACGGGAGGAGTGACCCATTCTCTGGCGTGTGTGGCAGAGTCAATAATGATCACAGGTTTGCGGAGGTCTTCGAATCGCGTGGTTGATATTCTGACATATTTGATCTGACGACCTTCAGTACTCATCCCTGCGTTGACGACGACTACTTTATCGGAATGGTTACGTCCCATTTCATCAATGAAATTGTTAATCTAAAAAAAAAATTATGAAAAATCATGTTACTTTTATGAAATAATGTTCAGGTGTTATTAAATATTAATAAATTAATTCATAGGTTAATAGGTATTTAATAAATTTACCACTTCAGTGTTGTAGTAGGCGTCCCAAGTCATCGTTAAATCATCATCTTCCTCACTTTCACTATCTTCTTCACCACTACCGTTATCACCACTACCATCTCCATCATCAGTAATTATACTATCATCATCGTTAATTATATTATAGTATTCATCACTTCTGTCATCACGTCCAGCTGCTGCCTTTGCGTATGCATTCGCAACGTCTTGTTGACGAAGAAGTCTGAAAGCGAATGTGAATAATATGTACTATATGATTTCCAAAAGATTATTTTATATGTTATTTTACCCCATAGCACCAATACTTACGCAGCAAGGTCTTTAAGCATCATTGTGTAGGACATGTTTTTTTGGTCGAAATAATTGAACCATTTGTGCTTTTCTTCTGGAGATAAGCGTACCAAGGCCTCTAGTTGACGTGATGCCGAGTTGCGTGCAGGATTAATTGTCAGGATATCAAGTTCTGCTTCGAGGGCAACAAATTCTTGAGCAGGACCAATAACGCGGTAAAGTTGATGACTAGAACAAATTGATTTTGGATAAAAGTTATCTACGTTTGATCAATCCCTTGTTCAATGAAATTTTAAGCTGTATTGGGCTGCTCACGTCGCTCAATTTTTCACTTTATTTTGTATTGTGGTTGTTGTATTTTAACGATAATTTAGTAACTTTGTAAGAGAATGAGAATGTTGATAACTCTCATTGGCTCTGTCTAGCTATACCTAAAATTTATTTATTGTTTACTAAGTTGTTGTTGTTCCAAATAAAATAATAATAATATAAAAAAAAATTCTTTCTCGTAATAAATAGTACACGTATATATTTTTTATCGAGGGACTAAAACGAGCCAATTAATACTCGAACCGATTAGCCATCCGAGCTTTAGCCAGGGTGTCTATTAATACAAGGATTTATATTGGCGTTTAGTGTTGAGAAAATAATAATTTAGTTATTTATTTCAATCGTTTACGCTCTATATCAAAATCACGAACCAAAATTCTGAACATTTTGCGCTATTTTTTGCGGAAAAGGCACGGAACTACAACCGAACGTACTGTACGTCCTAAGTTTTATTAGTTTGTTAGACTAGAGTTTATTTAGGTCACTCGAAATAAGTTACAAAACTAGGCACTTTTACTCCCTAGGGATTCAATCATGCACTTTACTTTTAGAGCATGAGAAGTCTTTAGAGGTCTTTAGAGGTCAGTTGACTGTATTGAGTTGTTGCTGTGTTGAGTTGTAACAAATACACGCGATTTAAATCCGGAAAAATAATTTCATTTTCTATGATTTTGTCTTAGTTCACTATGTTATCTTAGAGTGATTACACCCGGCGACTTTTCGCAGCGATGCAAACGCAAGTCTGCACTTGCGATTTATAGGCGATTGCAGCGATGCAAACGCAAGTCTGCACTTGCGATTTATAGGCGAGTGCAGCAATGCAAACGAGCGACTGCATCGACACAAACGCGCGATTGCAGCAAATAGTGTACTTGTAAGGTACAATGACCACTTCTTAATAAATGTGTACTATTAACTAACTAATTTACTTTAAAGCTGTTGGTCTTCCTAAGATAAAATAAATAAATAAATAAATAAATAACAAATAAGCACTTTTCGTACTTTTTCGAAATGCAGCATTCCTCATACTGCATTCGTCTCGTAGACGGCTGGTTAACGCAGCTTAGGCAATAAAGGTTAGGTGGTTCACTTTTCTACAGTTTTGAATACAGAGTAGTGCCATTTTAAAAAATTAATCTTAAATTTACGTGTGCATTCCCTGGAAAAATTCTGTAGAGCCGCCATAATGCACCCATAGTAACAAAGGAAATGAGTAAAAAGTTACTTGAAATAAAAGTTTATTAAATATTACGTTTTACTACTATAATATGCACTTACGTTTTTTTGGGAAATTACTCCACTAACTTGCTATAATTATTAATACAAAGATATAACACTAAGAAAAAATACTTTATTCAGCATTAGAACGAGCGCCTTCAGAGTACCGTGCGCAACTAAGCTACGGAACGAACAAAAACAAAAATCTGTAACAAGCACATGGAAAAATAAGTAAGGCCTGCTGGTTCGTCCTGTAACTCAGATGGAAGACCGTCAGGTACGGTATGCCGAAGGCGCTGGTTCGAATCCAGCCGGATCGAAGGGTTTTTCATTATGACACTAAGGTGTTAGATCTTTGTATCAATAATTATAACAAAGCTACTTAGTAAACTCACCCTTCATATTTCTCATGCTTGCCACTTACTGCAGCTATAAGGAGCAGCAGGCACACCAGGAGCTTCGCCATCTTTCACTGGTCAACGGTTCAATGAGCTCGAACTAAATGTAGCTCAATTTTGTAACATCGTACCTCATAAATTGTGCAATAAAGAATTATATCAAAATGATAAAACATTTATTGTCATAATCCTCACACTCTTTTAATGTTACTTAATATTTGCAGTAATAACTCTAATTAATAGATTAAAAATGGATAAGAAAGTTGTTTTTAAGATCATAATGTTTATAGATGGGTATAACTACATATTTATCTTTAGATTACCGGGTAATTTATGAGTATATATTGAACTTAAAGTAATGATTTAAAGAATACACAATCATAGATACTGAAACCTATAAGCCGAATTAACGTAGGTATTTGACCAAATGGTCATTTGGTTGTATACCTTTCACTTTATGTAGTAGAAACGAAATTACTTACAGCATTGGTATTTATAATCCCGCTATTATGTACAGTTTTATTGGCAAGCCAGAAAATTTGGCAGTCTTACTAGGTATTTTGTTATTGTGCATTCAAATAAATATTCACTTTATTTAACAGAAACAAAGTTGTATGTTGCATTGCGAGAAGTTTAGAGATAGCATTGTTATATGAAACTTTGTTTCATAAGAGTAAAGCCGCACGGCAACTGTCTATTTTTCAAGGGAATATACCTTAAAGGGGGGCACTCCACGGAAGAAATATGTGGTCTGTGGGGCATTCATTATCCTGCATTGCAGTCTGTCTTGCCGTCCGCCCCGTAATGCAGGATTATGAATGTAGTCGCAGCGTGCAAGCCATCCTGCAATCCTGCAATGCGTCCTGCGAGACTTCATACCCGGGCCATACGCAGGATAGTGTGTGAGCAGTTTCCCACCTGCGCGGCGGACTGCCATGCAGGTAGTGAATGGGCCGTTTCGAGGGGGCATGCATATCCTGCATTGCAGTCAAGTCTAGCCGTCCGAAATGCAGGATTATGAATGTAGTCGCAGCGTGTAAGCGATCCTGCAGTCCTGCAATGCGTCCTGTGAGGCTTCATAGGTGGGTCATGCGCAGGACTGTGTGTGATTTATTATATGTTACACTTTGTAAGTAATATTGAAATAGGTTTTAATCTTATCCACTAAATGGTTCTTAATAAGTGCATACCAACGTATACACTTCCATAAAATTGATGTTGTTAAATTTAAGGTATATAATGAGTTCCTGCAATTTATATATATCATTATGAAGTGTATGTAAGTAGTGTCGAGATAAACAATTTAAGATAAGTCATATTATAATCGGCCCTAAATATTACGTATCATACTTTATCTATCACGAATATTAGTCATTGAGGAAAATTTCAAGACCTATATTATATCCTCCCCCCCCCCATTTGTCCCGCAGATTTATACAAGGTGTAATCGTTAAGTGTGCCCAGGCGATTATTCCATAAATAGAAGAGATATCAAAAAGCTTTAAAGTGATATAGAAAGTACATTACCTAACGAATAAATCGACATTGATAACTTTTTACATTAAAACTAGAAATATCCAAAATGTTAACGTTAAACGCTCCCATACCATTAACATGACATTCATAGAGAGGCTTTAGTTGACATACTTTAAGAGTAACAACAAGGTTACAGATAACAAAACTTATCCCATACAATGAAATGATCCTTAGATGAACCTGGATCAGCACTAAAAAACAAATTGATCAATTTCATTCGTTTACATGGACAACTCATATTTGACCAAGTAATTGTCTACGCCATTATATTTTTATTCAATTAAAAGATAGTTTTAATTGAATTGTTATCTGTAAACTTATTGTTACCTCTTAAAGTAGATCAACTAAAGCCTCTATGAATGTCATATTAAATGTGACATTCATAGAGGTATTCTAGTATTATGTTTAAAAAGTTATTATCGTCGATTTACTCATTACGTAACAAAGGTGCTTTTGATATCAGTTTAAAGCTCTTTCATATTTGTGGAATAATGGCCTGGGCACACTTAACGATTCCACCCTTTAAAGTGCGGCCTATTCACAATGGTTCAAATTTTTTTAGGCAGACGTAACTACTCGTTTAAAATAAACACTGGTTTTGCGAATTCAATATTTTAGAACTGAAATCATTCTAATTTAAAAAATAATAATCCAATAAATCAAATGAAATTTTGTCTGAAATAATACGTAAGTTTTCGAAGTACCTGCCTTTAGTTTCCAATATAAAATATATTTTAAGCCTGTGAAAAGTCTGTCGATTCTCTCGTATTCTCCTTATTGCCACCGGGATAAACAATCTTAATGTAGCTATTAAGCCGAGGTACTATGAATTTGTTCGTTGTTATTAGAAAATTGATCATTTTTTAATTGTACAATGAGAAATTACCAAAAGGTGAAAAACTACGGCGCAATCCAAGATCACAAAAATGGTTCATTCCATATACAAGCTAGACTTTCATATGAAATTTTACCTGGTGTGGTGAAATAATTTAAAGTTAGAAGCATTTCGGTGGCTAGAGTAAAACAGTCTTCAAAAAAGTACAATAAAATGTTATCAGCTGAACTATTCACTGTTTAGGTGGTATTTAAAGCATAAGTATTATTTTTTAAAGTACTGGCTGTGTAGCTGTATTTTTAAATTTTTGCTGTACATTTTTGTTGTACAAGTAGGTATGTATTAATAGTATTATTACTTGTATTTGCGGAACCAATGTTTTGTTTTAAATTGGTCTCTATGATGTCCTCTATTTAAAAAAAATCTCATTGTAAATGGGCCACCTTATAGCACTCAAATTGAAACCAAAATGTAATTGTAAGATTCAACAGTTTGAGCTGCATGAATGAATGGGTAAATGAATGATATATTTCTTGTTGTAATACTTAGGTACAGGGTCAAGATAAATAAGGATCAGTTGAAATTAAGATTTATTAAATTCAACTTCATGCGGTTTGATGATAAAGTCCAAAGTTCAGTGTATCGGTTGATGTGTGACTGTACAAAATTTTTATAACAAACGTCAAACCATGCCAGATTGTAAAAAATATATTTATTTATTTATTTTTTTTTTTTATGTTATCAATGTCACAATATTACAATTGGAAATACAATGTCAAGGGATAACTATGATCGTCAGTAACAAAATAATAATAATAATAATAATAATGAATATAAAATAAAGTAGTATAACTACTGCTTGTCGAATAAAATAAAATTAAAATTGTTTCAAAAGAAACTCATCGACACTGTACAATTCAATATCCAATAAAAGGATTTTTAGTCGGGTACAAAACGTTTCATCGTTTCTAACACTTTTTAGGTCTGTGGGTAGATGTTCGTAGAATCGGGGACCTATTACCCGCGGATTTCTAGTTGCAAGTTCGGTACGGTGGACAACGGATTTTAGTGTTCCCGCGTTTCGCAACGCTCGGCCTCCGCCCGTACGTCGTTCATAAGTAGCCAAGTTTTGACGCGCATAAACTATTATATCATAAATATATTGTGAGTACATGGTCATTATATTGTATTTCTTAAAAAGGTTTCTGCAGGTCTGACCCTTTTTTATGCCTACTATTGTTCTTAGTGCACGTTTTTGAAGAATAAATACCCTAATCGACTCAGTTGAATTACCCCACAGTGTGATGCCATAAGACATCAACGAATGAAAATATGCATAATACGTCTGCCTCAATACCACACTGGAGACAAGAGGACGCAGTTTCCTCAGTGCGTATGCAGCACTTCCAAGTTTTTGACATAGAGTTTGTATATGTGACTTCCAGTTCAAATTTGAGTCTAGCGTTAAACCCAAGAATTTACAGGTGTTACATAATGGAACAATGGAGGTGATAATTGGCTTTGTTATAGAATTTCTTCCTGAGAACAACATAAGGTTTGACTTCGATTCGTTAAGAATAAGTCCATTCGCAGAGAACCACTCACACAGCTGCTCATACGTGCAGGCTAATTTTTCTTCCAACTCGTTGTAGGTTTTAGCACACACTATAACGGTTGTATCGTCCGCAAATAGAACCACAAGACCCCCTGATATAAAGTATGGCAGATCATTAATGAATGCCAGTGTATAAATATTATGTAATCTTCTTACTCTTCTGGGAGTTAGGTCCAAACAAACTACGAATGCATTTGGATTTGCAAATCTTGATGATAATATGCCCGTCAGAATATTGAAGACACATTTACTTGATCGAAATTAGTGTAAAGATTAGAACAATTTCATCAACAACCACATGATCTAAAAAAAACTTAATTTTGGACAATTTTGTCCAAAATGAAGTTTTTGTTGAAAAATGATATTTGATAAATGTCCACCACGACCACAGTCACAGAAGTCGATTCTCTCATCGAAGTTTTTAAGTCACACAGCCACCGGAACAATGCATTTATTGCAAACCAAATTTCCTGATCGCATAATTTTTCGCATTCGCATAATTTAAAATTCTAAAACTGAACTTACACGCGACTCCGACAACATGTTACATCGACATGATTTTACTCAGACATTACGTTACTCCGACAATATGTTACTTCGACATTATTTTACTCAGACACTACGCTACTCCGACAACATGTTACATCGACATGATTTTACTCAGATGCTACGCTACATCGACAACACAGACGAGGTGTATATTAAACAGCATTCTAGTACTCTGATAAGAAAACTCATAATTACAAACCCATCTAGGAAATGGTTTCTTATTATGTATCGATCTATATAACAAAAATAACATATATCATGTCATGTTATAGCATATAATGTAACAAAAAAAAAACAAAATCATAAGATCGAAAAGTTCTTTTATTAGTTATATAAAGTGTAACAAAAAACTATTAAATTAAAATATAAATTTTTACTACACTATTTCATGTATGTACAAAAACCTAATTAAATTATTATTTTCGGGACGGAAGAAAATTTGTTCTTTTCGAAGCACAATTTTGGATAATGGATTGGACTTTTGAAATAGTATATTTTATTTTATTTTAATATTTTTTTTGTTTCACTTTATACAGAGTGTTTTTTTTTAATGGGACAATTGGGGAAGTCCGAAACCATAGAAGATACAAGAAAACTGTCTTAGCAACCATAAAGTTTTTTTTATGAAATCAGTTTCGGCATATTTTTTTTTAGTCAAGCGTGGGTTCGCCATAATAATTAATAAAATTGATCAAAATTTTGTTTAGTGCTGAGCGACTCAGAGTTATGAAGGGATCATTTCATTGTAGGGGACGAAAAAATCGGGGCAGCAGAAGTTGATCAAATTCCATACAATTTTTTTCATATAAAATAAATAAAATTTACAATTTTAGTTGTAGTGACAAAGTTTTTTTTAATGCTAATAGACTCAGTTTCTTAAAAGGATGACTTTATTGTACCCGAAGAAAAATATCGGGACAGCAAAGTTGGCCAAGTTTAAAAAAAAAATTTCATTCACAATGAACAACATTTTATTAAATTTGACGAACTTCTGCTGGTCCGATTTTCTTCGTCCCATACAATGAAATGATCCCTTCATAACACTGAGTCGATCAGCACTAAAAAAGATTTTGATCAATTTTATTTGTTTTTTTAGACAATTCACGCTTGACCAAAAAATTGACTATGCTAAAACTATTTTCTCAAAAAAAGACAACTTTATGGTTCCTAAGATAGTTTCGTTGCATCTTCAATGGTTTCGGATTTCCTCATACTGTCCCTTTAAAAACTTTATTTTTCCGATAAAATTCCGATTACATAATGTTGTCCTTTTTTGTCATAGTGATCGGTATAAGAAATCATTTCCTACGTGGGTTTGTAATGATGATTTTTCTTATCAGAGTACAAAGATATTTTTTAATAAACATCTCATCTGTGTTGTCGATGTAGCGTAGTGACTGAGTAAAATATTGTCGTAGTAACATATTGTCGGAGTAACGTAATGTCTGAGTAAAATCATATCGATGTGACATGTTATCGGAGTCGCCTGTGTTGAATTTCAGTTTTAGAGTGGATCATGTGATTTAACACCGCTGGATTGTTTTTATGCGGTTATGTTAAAGACACAGTCTATACGCAGTCAATCGAATCGATTGCAAGTGATTAACGAAATAGACCCACCATTTTGTCAAAAAGTGATTAAAAACTTTGATGAAAGAATCGACATCTGTAACTGTGTTCGCGGTGGACATTTATCATATATCATTTTTCATTCATAATTTCCAAACCATAAAGTCTTAAGGTCTTTTAATAAAATAAAAATTTGAATCATTGTCATCTAAATTTATTGTTTTATTTTGGTTTACAAAACAAAGTTCTTGTTGAAGAACCCTATAGTTCTTGTACATATACATTTTTAAAGTGGGAAACAAAATCAAACACACAGTTAAATGAAACAACTTTTTAATTTAAAGCTCAACATTCTTCATTAAAATTATTACAGTAACAACTACTAAACAAAAATGATCATAAATCGCTCTTTAACGACAAAATATATTTCAGGTACATTTTCCTCAAGGTTCGTTTAAATCCTGAATGCCTCCAAGCATAAATTAATGGATCGCATAAACTATTGCATACTCCAAGCAAATATAGAGGGCCTAAAGTCAGTACCTCTAGAGGTACACAAGCATACCCACGTCTCAGTATATCACAATTTACATAAATAATTATAGTCACATAGTACGGCGCCCAGGTTCCTACAAAACAGCAAATTACTATAAGAACGGTTTTAACAGCTTTGAGTTTACTCGGATGAGCGTTCAAAGCCTTGGCCTGTCCGTAATAGGTAGATATTTTCGATACTTTTCTATACCTGTGACCCGTTTGCCTTTCTTCTATATTAGTTTTTCTAAGCTCGTGCATCTCGATTCCAGTATCTGTTGTTGTTTCTTTTGAAACTGTTATTGTTACTTTTGTATTAGACGTCTCTGTGGGAGTATCGCAGTTTTTTTCAAATGCTTTATTTACGTAAGCAATGCTGTTAGTTTCTCTATACTCTCTTATCTTGTCGACGGTTTTTACGGCACTGTGTAATATGAGTATGTAGAGAATACAGACCATGATGATTATTGAGAGAACTACGACGGATACGATGATCAGTAGAGAAGCAGGAAATACGGCAATGTACCAACAACGGTAATCAGTGAAGGTCTTGCCTGTCCATCCCATGGCTGGAAGACTGGCGATAAATAGTGCTGAAAGTGTAACAAAAATACAACTGATAAGGTTATTTTCAGAGCTGCACATTGTTACAACTATATTATTTACTGTGTTTGTTACCCAGGGTTGCAATACAAAAAATAACAGACTTAATTTTAGTAATATGTAATCTCAGTACAGAGTACTAAAAAACCGAGCTCAAAAGTCATTCATCCCGTAGTTAGCCACACTTAGAGGTGGAATATTATCTTCAAATTTAAATGAGACCACTACTGAGGTACAAAAAAAAGAATCAACAAACAAAAAAAGAATAAACAACAAAAAAGAATCATCAAAATCGGTTCACAAATCGTTATCGTAAGTTATCGCGTAACATACATACAAAAAAAAAAATTATACAATCGATTGAGTATCTCCCCCTTTTTTGAAGTCGGTTAAAAATAGACATACGGCGGTGGGTCAGTCCTTCTTCTTTAGACTAAAATGGGTTTTGCAAATTGCGATCTTACGTTAATGGCAAAATGGCGATTTATTTTTAGCTGTCGGTTAGATACTTAAAGTAATAAATAAAAAGGTGGTTAGTATCACAGATATATAAATAACAAAAGTTTTTCGTTACATGTCAAATAAATTAAATACGTGGTTGTTTAAAAATTTAACAAAATTAATGTTATGGTCTTAACAAATCAATAATAATATGAATAAATTAATAATTTAACATACAAACGTATAGGTAAAAAAAATTACATCTTAATAGTTTAATCGTTATGTAAATAATATATATATATTATTTACATAACGATATGTTATAGCACAATTCTGGCTAATCAATGTTTTTATTATTCTATCCCTTAAAACTGAATTCCTTTTATAAGATCTTAATTTGTATGTCATGTTGCATTAAGTTACTTCAAAATAAACCATTTGTCTATCTATACGCACATTGCTGCAGCTTTTTCTTATTCCAACAACCTACTATACTATGTATAAACAGATGCCAATTTTATTGCTACAATTTTATCGGGTCGAAGGAATTTTTTCTGAGTGTTCGATCTTTGTGTTAATAATTATAACAAACTAGTGGAGTAATTTAACATAAAAATAATTGAATAGCAATTCAATAAAAGTTTAGGTATAATTTTAATTCATGATCCAATCAGATAGGTATATTTTAACACTCCCATCGTCACGTGGGCCGCCGTCCACAAAAATTCAACTGCAGCAGGCTACTATGCATCTTCAAATGTTAACCAGCAAGCCATGTGGGCCGCTTCCCGCCCACAAAGACAGCGAGTGCAGCAAGCCACTATGTACGTATTTTCGAATTTTACCCTGCAAAACATGTGGTCCACTGGCGTACCACAATTAGGTATTCTAAATTGTTTTCGGTTCTTCTAGTCCTGACCAGTCAAAGATTGCACCAGTAGGCCGGCGCAATATGAGTTGCGCAACTCGGGCATCGGATGTCAGTGAACACAGCCAGTTGTATGAATCTTCTGATAACAACTGATCCCAACCGTGGTGGTGATATCCTATACTGTCTGGTGAAACCCACCTGTCTACTCCCCATCCGATCTCACTAATAGAGGTACAGTACCAGAACGTACCTAACTGACTACCAACACGTCTCACACTAACAATACGTCTTATTTTGGTGGGATAAAGCTTGTGAGGTGTCCCGCCAGCAGCTCACAGAGGCTGCTACAAAAGTTGCGTAAGATCGAAAAAATACATGTCCTGCGCGCTGCCCACATGACCTGTTCAGAAAAATGGTTTGATCTATGGCGTTGAGAGTGTTAAACTAAGGGACCGGCTACACGTTTAAGCTTCATCGGAACTTTGCGCTGGGTAAATTACACGTTTGTGTACTACCTAAATTGAGTAAAAATAAAAATAAAAATAATAATAAATTTAAGTTATGAGCTAATTAGCCTCCACTGCGGTCACGCCATATTATTATGTTAAGGTGTGACCGCAGCGGAGGTGAAGTAAAGGCACAAATATAGCTAATATTTACATAAAATTTCTACAATACATTTCTTAACCAAAGGAATTTAGACTATGTCCGAACTTAGGAACGTTGGGCCTAAAACTATCTTAATTAATACGTACTTAAATAAATAATTTTGTCAGCGATCACGTTGCAATGCACAGTGCGCATGTTTCCGCTGCGAATGCAAGCTCGTTGAATAGATTTTTTTAAATAAGTTTAAGTGACGGGAACAAGTCGCATGCCTGATGGTAAGCTACACGCCTATCCATAACAGTTGCAGTGCTGCTCAAAGCTTTAATCGCAAACGTCTGAAGGGCACTGCCGCTACGCCTGTTACCCTGAGATATAAGTGGACAAGTCCCATGTGCCTGTAATTTCACCAGCGCCTTTATTTACCCTTCTAAACCGGAACACAGTTAATGCTGCTGATATTACTGCTTGGCGGCAGATATAGGTAAGGTGGCCGTACTACTTTGGATTAACTCTTTCACAAGGAGTTCTACAGCTAACTTCATGTTACAGGTGTTCGCTTATCTGGATAAATAACTTAAAAATTTTACAACGACAGTAAAAAAGAGATAATTTATATGTTAATATAATTAAACTCGTAGAATTTATTTACGAAGTGCAGGAGTATTCAATTGCACGTTTTTAGAGAAATATTTTCTACAATACGTTCGAAACTGCGTTCTTACTGTTCTTTGAAAGCCTCTATGCCACCAAGCGTAAATTAAAGGGTTTAGAATACTATTGAAGAACGCTAAACTTGTCAATGGCCCTCTTAACAAAGTTCTATATCTCAAACAATTAGGATTTGTCAGTTTTTCTTCGCACAATACGAAGAAAATTATCACTATGAAAAAAGGAAGCCAAGTCATTAAGAAACTTCCAGAAGTCAGCATAACTACAGTGATCGCCCTAAATTTGTTGGGGTGTTTTGGTTTATGTGTTTTTTTGCAACTTTTGTTGGGAACTTTTTGTGAAGGCAGCACTTTCACGTCATTACCCGAAATATTTGCATCTGAACAACTTGATTCTATGCTACATATGCTGAATTTCGAGTCGTATTGTGTCTGTTCTACAGGTTTTGTATCGAATATTGCCGATATTTGTGTCTTATCATTGTCACCGATGAGGTCATTTATACTTTTTGGTTTCATAATTGTAAAGTTTCTTGAATCTGATTTTTCGTATTTCATATCAAAGGAGGCACTTCTCTGCAGTTTTCTTTTATTTACCTTATTTTTATTCCTATGTTTCATAGATGAGGGGGCACTGACCACGTTTTTAGGATTAGGGTTTCCTATGTAAATTCTCAGCTTAGGTTCAGATGCCGAATTTTTGACAGATTTTTCAGCTGCTTTAATGTTATTTACATTTTTCAAAGCCTTTACTAAGATTATAGAATATAATACTGCTACTACAATGATAGGTACAATACTCAGAAGAGAATTGAATATTACAAGAGATCCAGGAAAGATTCCGACGTACGTGCAACGAAACAAGACGAATTCTTCGTTCTTCCACCCAGTAACCGGCAAAAAGCTGAGCGTGACACCTACAAGTACACGTGTTACATATAATGTTAAACACAAATATAATATATAATCGTTAAAAACGAAAGATTAGTTGCAAACTTTACAGTAGATAATGCCAAAAGTAACAAAGTTAACATTTCGATGCCTTGCTTTCTCAAACTCGTTTCTTATAAAGAGTGATTATTCAGGAGGTGGCAAAACTTTCTATTTATTTTAAAATTAAAAAAATAAAATATTATTAAGGGTGTTAATTTGGATGCATTACTTTAAGAATAGGTAAAAGCCAGTGTGTGAATATTAAGGAAATGCAACGTGAAATCAGCCGAATCATCGTGAATCAGCAGCAGAAAATTTGTATATACAATCCATTTTTTGCACTCAGTACCTTTGTGCTTTAAGATACGAATTTGAGAAAGTAAGACGACGATTTGGCAATATTATTGGAAGGACAGAAAATCTAATGTGTTTTTATTTATTTATTATTTTGACTCTTGCCAAACACACAAAAATAGTAACACTATTTAGGAAGTAGCTAGGGTGGCAGTATAAGTACTGTAGAGTACATATCGAACAAATTCAATTCATAATTTGAAAATTAAGTCGACATTTTCATAGGTAACGGGAAAAGCAACGCTAAGAACATATAAGGTAAGCAATTTACATATCTATAAATTTAGAACATTTATGTATAATTTAATTAGTACCACTTACCAATTATCCAAATACAAACAATGCCAATTCGGACTTTGGTTGTATTGAACCATCTTTGATAGTACAGTCCATGGAGGATGTAGATGTAGCGATCGACAGCTATTAACCCCACGCTAAAGATTGATACCATTGCCGGACATACTAACATACCTGCGATAAAAACACATATAAAATTCATAGTTTCTGACAAGTTTCGTTTATATTTAAAAGTGCTTTATTACTAAAATAAAGCACTAAAATCTAACTTACACAATTTATAAAACTGACGCAGACAATTATAACAAAATATTAGTTTATCATGGCGAACAAAAGATTAACACATCCTTGTAGAAAATCCGTATTGAAATAAAAAAAATAGGTAATAGGTAAAAAACAGTAGTGGCTAGTGTTCATATGCCTACTACGAAATGACATCGTTAAGCTATAATAAAAACTATATATTTTGTGCTACGAAGTTAGCTTTTTTTACCACGAATTCCGCTTTGTAGTTGGAAAGAAGGAATCGAGGCTGCTAGTAGCACGTCTTGCCCACGACCGGTCGTCCGGTTAACGACGGTAGGACGACTTCACCGGTTTCGATAAAAAATAGTGTTGCGGCAAGTGACGCCTAATGTAAAAAAGGTATGGTAATAACTACGGATTTTACTTATCATAGGTTTAATTAGGTTATTTGAATGTTTTGGATTATTTAAAATAATGGTGAAGTTCTAGGTGAACTGAAAATGAATACTTTTTTAAAGTTTGGTTAGGGTTATATAAGTCATGCGAGCATTACTGCGTTCCGGTTTTAAGTTTAAGGGTTAAGGGTGTTGGTGAAGCCATAGGCACATGAGACTTGTCAACGTTATGTCTCAGAGTGACGGGTGCATAATACCCTTCGAATTAGTATTGTAGTTAAATTGGCACGATCTTAGAATTTTTGAAATTTAAGTACATAGATTAATGCTGCTGGTTGTACACCACATAGGAGAGACGTAAGTAATTTAGGATCCGATCAAAGTATGTATATCACAGTTACAATTTGGTAAGGGAACTTGGATAATCACCTACAGATGTGGGACAGAAATGGCATTTAATGCGTTCATCAATTTTGTACTTTAGCTGTCGAGTTCGTGAAGGTCAAAGTCAAAGTCAAAGAATCATTTATTCCATAAGTAAAATAAATTCATACTCAAGTGTGAAAAAAATGTTTAAAATAGGACGTTTTCAAAAACGTCATTTTTTAATCTAATG